TGTATATATATATATATGTATGTATGTATGTATATATATATATGTATGTATGTAATGTATGTATGTATGTATGTATGTATGTATGTATGTATGTATGTATGTATGTATGTATATACATACACACATATATCTATATATACACATACATATATGCATATGCGTATATACATATATATATATATATATACACACACATATCTATATATATATATATATGTATGTATGTACACATGCAGATATATGAATACATATATATATATATATACATATCTACATATCTATATACATACACACACCTACATCTTTTTAATAAAGGGACGATCAAGGGTACTATCACGGAACTTCTCTGACCGTAGGACTCAATGAGCCAGAGACTTGAATGAGGAGCTGAAGTTAAATTATAAGGGCCTTCAGATTCTGCTCCAAGCTGTATTCCTTAATCATAGGGTATGGCTCTCTGGAGAGCCTTCAAGCCCTAAACCCTAAGCCCCTAAACCCTAAACCCTAAACCCAAAGCCCCTAAACCCTCAGCCCTAAACCCCTAAGCCCCAAACCCTAAACCCCAAGCCCTAAACCCTAAACCCAAAGCCTTAAACCCTATAACCCTCAAGGAGCCTTCATCCCCAGCTCACAGCCGCGGAGAACGTTGCCCCTGTCAGGGAAGGAGCATGCGGGGAAGGGCCTGAACCCTAAACCCTAAACCTGTGCAGTTTTGGGATGCAGTTTCAGGGTTCTGGGTGTATGAGGTTTAGGGGGGCTTGTGCAGTTTTGGGATGCAGTTTCAGGGTTCTGGGTGTACGAGGTTTAGGGCTTAGGGCTTAGGCTTCAAAAGAGGCAGGAAGTCAAGAAACGCACCTCAGCTGGCATGTCAACGCCCCCGGCATTCGCTCTCGCGGCCCAGCACGTAGAGAGACCTCGCGGCAGCACCCAAAACCCCGAAAAACTAAACCCCAAGCCAAAAAGACATACTTTCACCATCACGACTGCTGCTACTTCCGGGAACTACACAACATATTCCAACAACTTCCACAAGCGTTTAGCAGTAGCAGCAGAAGTGATTTGCCGCCGGGCCTTTGAATCTACTGTGCTACCGATGGAAGGAAACCCTGCGGGCTTGCTTCTTAATTCTGTTGTAGGGTTTAGGGTTTAGGGTTTAGGGTTTAGGGTTTAGGGTTTAGGGTTTAGGGTTTAGGGTTTCGGTAATCTGGGGCCCTGAATACTATTTATGAATAGGTACCTCTATAGGAACCATAAAGGGGGAGTTTAAGGTTTCCCAAAGTGCCACCGAGTTCAAAATTAAGCTCAAATTTAAGGGCTTCTGATGTGCAATGTCGAAGCCCGAAAGGCCTAGTCGAGGCTGTGATGTACACTAGAAACAGAGCAAAAATAGTAAAATTAGTAAGTTCAATAACAACACGAAATTCACTACTTGTTTGTTCGGGCTTCGATACAACATTGACCTGGTCAGGTTGGTATGCTCATTCGCTTACAAGTTACGGATACTTGGTGGTTGGGGGCGCCGGTTTGTGGGGGTTTGCGGCTGGTTCAGGCAAGCCCTGCAGGCCAAACCAACCCTCTCGCCCTACTGTAGATGCCTACAGAATGACCAATATTTTTCTTTAGGGTTCCCTATGATTCCTCTACCATAAAGGAGCCCAAAACCCTGTTCTAACTATTCCCAGTACAATATTATTCCTCAGAGTTCCCTATTATTACTGTACTATAAAGGAGCCCTAAACCCTGTTCTAATTATTAAGGCCGCTATCTTATCCTGCAAGAGCCGGAGCGGCTGTTCAGGCTTGCAGGCTCACGAGGCTCACGACCGCGTAGTTTGCGAAATTCAAGTCGCTCTCTGAAAGTAGCAAGGGTTTAAGGTTTAGGGTTTAGGGTTTAGGGTTTAGGGCTGCAGCCTGAAAGGGCTACCAAGCCCACTTTGGCACTAAAGCTAGTGACAGCAAACTTTCTCCCCCGTGCCCGCAACGCCATCCACAGGCCTGAACCGTCGAAGCCTGCGGGCAGAATGCCACCGCACCCTGTAAGCCTGAGTGCTGCCATCCACAAACTGCCAAGGCACAGCCACTGCGCAATGCACCACTTCATTCTCCTCGATGCATAGGACGATGATAAGGGTCAAAATGAGGGTGATCACGGTGATGCTGCTGCTGATGATGATGGTGACGGTATTGGCGATGGCGCTGATGCTGATGATGTTGGTGTACACTTGGACACCGACAATGAGAGCAGTGATGAAGGCCATGGTGACATTGGTGGTGATGATGATGAGGGTTACGATCATGATGACCATGAGGATAGTGAAAGTAGTGATGGCGATGATGGTGCCGCTGCTGCTGCTGCTGCTGCCGCCGCGGCTGCTGCTGCTGCTGCTGCTGGAGGCGGTGGCGGCGATGGCGATGGCGAAGGTGAGGAGGAGAACGAGGAGGAGTTTTAAGGAGGAGGAGGAGGAGGAGGCGGAGGCGGCGGCGGAGGAGGAGGAGAGGAGGGTGGTGATGTTGATGGATTTACGATTTTGGGTATGGTTTTTATGACTTGGCACTTTAAGTTTCGGGGTTTAGGTTTTAGTATGTTATAGTTTAGTGCCTGACACCAAATTCGAAAGGTTTGAAGGTATCTTGGCTTTTCACTGTTTCCACGCCGAGCTCAATGTCTGTGGGCAAAAGACCGGAGAGCTAACCCATCCTAAACCCTTATGGAATCCTTCAAGGAACCCTTGAAGGAACCATACCTATAGCTACCTGACTTATAACCTCTGTAAGTAGGTCTCTGCAAGGGTCAGTCCCCAGCCCCTTATAGAAGCCTCTGGGGAAAGCTGTAAGGATCCCTGCAGGATCCCTCTGAAAATCGCTCTGAGGATCCCGCTGAGGATCCTTCTGAGGATCCCTTGCAGGAACTCTATGAGGATCCCTCCAAGGAACACTATGAGGAACCCTTTAGGCAACAGAATGAGGAACCCTATGAAGAACCCGTTGAGGAGCACCGTGAACCCTAAACCCTGAACCCAGCACCCTAAACCCAAAACCCTAAACACTAAACCCTAAACCTCTCAGGAACCCTTTGATAAAACTTTCGAAGGAACCCTGCCGCCCGCAAACGGAAGGAGGAGCCTCGAGCAAGGCGGAGCCGTTGAAGATCTGAAATGCCGCAAACTTCATCGACTCGAACCTTTCGGGGTTGAGGGTCTATTGTTGAGAGTTTGGGGTCTGGGCTTTAGGGTTTAGGGGTCTGGGGTTTAGGGTTTAGGGTTTCAGGGTTTAGGGTTTAGGGGCTTAGGGTTTAGGGTTTAAGTTGAGGGTTTAGGGTTTAGGGGTTTAGGGTTTAGGACTTGGGTTGAGGCCGCGGAGTTTTGACCGAATGTTTTGACCAAAGCATGCGAGCTTATCTTTCAGACATCCAAAAGAAAATGGGTGCAACCGCTGTTCAGATGGAAAGATAAGCAGAATTGCGGATGTGCTCAAGCTACCTGAGCCATGCTCTGAGTCAGGAGTCTACATGCGATGCATATGCATGGCTATGCCTGCTTGTCACACTAATGGATTATTTGTTCAAGACGCAGACACCATGCGGTACGCACCGTGAGCATTCCGCCTGTGACTATCTTATGTCTGGCTGTGATTGGTTTGACGCCGACGACTACCATTCCGTGTTGGCAGAGGTTCATGTGAACACCCCAGATTGGATGTCAATGCCACGCGACATTGTCAGGCTGCACAGCAATCTCGTGAATCTCCGCAGCTTACCCCTTCAACTAGCCCAACTCCGAACCCTCGCCACTCACCAAAAGCTGCTGGGACACCGATTTCCGGTGGCTTCAAGGGCGCACTCGGAGGCCAGGACACCGGCATGGCAGCCACGCCTTCGACCGCTTGCGATTGGGGGGAGCTTTCCGGGCACCCTACACCCTAGGGCGCGAAACCGTAAACCCTAAACCCCACCCCTAAACCCCTCAAACCTAAACCCCAAAACCCCTAAACCCGAAACCCTAGAGAGCCTGAACCCTCAGCAGAAACCTTGAACCCTCAAACCCCCTCAAATCCAAACCCAAATGCGAAGCCCCAAAACCCTGAAGTGCTTGTCTTCTTGGTTCGGGGCTTCAAGTCACGTAGTCTAGTATTCTTAAAGTATAACCCTAAACCCTAAACTCTAAACCCTAACCCCCAAACCCTGAACCGGTGTCCGTCTCCATGGTTTGGGCTCGGCGGTTCGGTCGAAGGTCAAGGGCCTGTGGCAGTGGCAGTGCTCCTAACTACGAAGATAGGCGAAAGTCCTACAGGTAAGAACCAGAATCATGGAGACAAAAACCAGCAAGAATGGCAACACAGCAGCAGCAGTAGCAAGAAGGAGAAGAAGAAGAAGCGGAACAACACCAAGAGCTGCAGCAGCAGCAGCGGCTGCAACAGCAGCAAGAGCAGCAGCAAGAGCGGCAGCAGCAACAGCAATAGTTGTCTTCATCGTTGAAGACGGTCCTATGAGCCTGAAGCCCCAAAATAAGCAAATAGATGATGGTATCGAACAGCAACTACCACTTGTAAAAAAAAGGAAAAACATAAGCTAGATACGATGGTTGTCGCCACCTAAGAAGAGAACTGCGTATAGCTCCGAGACTGAGGAGCGAGCATGGAATTTCCCACGACGCGAGCACGCAAGCGAAGATTTCCTGGCAAGGGCTGCTGTGGAAACTCTAACCCCCAAACTGTAAACCCCGAAACCCTCCCTACACCCTGAACCCCTAAAGCCCTAAACCCTAAAGCCCCAAACCCCTAAAGCCCCAAACCCCTAAACCCTAAAAGCCTAATAAAGCCCTAAAGCCCCAAACCCATAAAGCCCCAACCCTAAAGCCCTAAACCCCTAAACCCCTAAAGCCCTCAAGCCCTAAACCCCTAAAGCCCTAAAGCCCTAAAGCCCTAAAAGCCCTAAAAGCCCTAAAAGCCCTCCCCAAACCCCCGAACCCTAAACACCTAAAGCCCTAAACCCCTAAAGACCTAAAGCCCTAAACCCCGAAACCCCTGAAGCCCTAAAGCCCCAAACCCTAAAGCCCCAACCCTAAAGCCCTAAACCCCAAAACCCCTAAAGCCCTCAAGCCCTAAACCCCTAAACCCCTAAAGCCCCAAACCCCTAGAGCCCCAAATCCCCAAACCCTAAAGCCCTAAAGCCCTAAAGCCCTAAAGCCCTAAAGCCCTAAACCCCCAAAGCCCTAAAGCCCCAAAGCCCTAAAGCCCCAAACCCCTAAAGCGCCAAACCCCTAAAGCCCCAAACCCCTAAACCCTAAAGCCCTAAAGCCCCAAGGCCCTAAACCCCCAAAGCCCTAAACCCCTAAAGCCCTAAAGCCCGAAACCCTAAACCCCTAAAGCCCGAAACCCTAAACACCTAAAGTCCTAAAGCCAAGTAAAAGAAGGGACCTAAATAATTACCTATATTTATTTTGGGGGTTCCGTGTTACAATTACAATTATAGTATAATATAATGGGACCCAAAACCCTATTCTAAGATCAATGCGAAACTTGATCTCAAGGACGCGGAGAACTGATTCCTATGTTGAATGAAATGTACAACTCTCATTGTGAAGCTCAGTGTAAAACCTGAATCGTCAAGCTTGACCTCAAGTGAAATGTGATCAATCAAGATTCGAGAATATATCAGTTAGAAAACTGTCAGAAGTAGTTTAGTGCCTACGACTCGAAGAGCGGATCTGGCTTCGAATTTAGGGTTTGAAAAGAAAAACCCCATTCCAATTATTAAGGCCCTTACTCCCAAAACCCTAAACCCTAAACCCCTAAAGCCCCAAAGCCCTAAAGCCCCAAAGCCCTAAAGCCCTTACATTAAAAGAGGGGTTCCTTTCCGGATCCCGGGCTCGGGGTCTCCTGTGGTCGAGCTCTTCGTCAGGGCAGCGTCCCGGCAGAAACCTGGCCCCATAGGATGAGTAGGGTTTGAAGTCATTTTTTAAGGGTTTAGGGTTTAGGGTTCAGGGTTCAGGGTTTAGGGTTTAGGGTTTATGGCTTGGGATTCAGGGTTTATGGTTTGGGGTTTTGGGTTTAGGGTTTAGGGGTTTTAAGCGTTTCAAGGTAGAGAGAGGGTTTCAGGTTTAGCGTATGGAGCTTAGGCTATAGTGCTTAGGGTATAGGGTTTAGGGTATAGGGTTTCGGGTGAACTCAGGCCCCGGGGGTGACACTGTTGACTTTCGGTGTCTAGGGCTCTAATTAGGGCTCTGGGCTGTGGAGCTTTGGGGTTTAAGGCCATATGGGTTTAGGGTGGAGGGTTAGGGGTTCAGGCTCAGGGGCCTTCATCCCGCAACGCCCGAAACCGCGACGAAGACTCACGCACCACAAGACACGGAGCCATGTCCGCACAGTATGGCTCCGGACGCTCTAAAGCTCAACCCCGAAAGCAGCACCCGGAATACTCGAAGCTCTACCCCAGACTCCGGGCCCAGGACTTGACCGAGAATCCCTAAGTACCTACCTGTAGTTGCGAAGCGCCCCAGCGACAAGGCGCTGGACCAGTCGTGCCGCGCGAAATGCTCGAACCTGGAGGACATGGGGATGAGGATGATCGGCTAAGATTCCGAGCACAAAGCGGTTAAGAGCATGAGGACGATGATGATGATGATGATGATGATGATGATGATGATTATGATGGGGATGACGAATGTCCTCATCATTGATATCGTAACGATCGCTCTTCTTGGCTTGTATTCTTGCCATTTCATTCAACTCGTGGTCGCCACTATTCTTGTTGCTGGTGTTGCTGCTCTGCCGCTCTGCTTCTGCTGCTGCTGCTGTTGCTGCTGTTGCCGCTGCGGAGATTGCTACAACACTTGTTGCCCTTACTATATGCACCGTGATTTGCTGCTTTGGCTGTTCATGCGCTGCCTTCTACTGATCGGCCACCTTTTGCGATTCGGCATGACTGTTGCTACAACAGTAGAGTCAGTTACACCATCAGCAACCGTGTTACAACTTTTGTTGTCTTGATATCGTTGCCAACGTTCCTTGTTGTCCTCTCGACCTTGGATCTTTAACTTAAGAGGCCATGAAGGGGCTATGGAAGGCAGGGAAGCAACCCTGAACACTCTGATAGAGAGAGCAGAACAGGGTTTCGGGGTATATTATGGTGGGATAATCATTGTATCAAGGACCCCCAACAAAGAATGGGCAATTATTTGATCAATCATTTAGGCCCCTATATTAAGCGTGAACCCTAAAACCCAAGACCATTGCGCCAAGCTGCTGGCAGTTCTCCACGACCAAGTCGTGCGGCTCCTGAAACGGTGCCTGAGGAGTGAGCTTTGCAGTAGGTTAGGAGGATCAGAGCTGAAGGTTTAAGGTTTAGGGTTTAGGGTTTAGGCGTTTAGGGTTTAGGTTGGTCTCGCGTGGACCAGGGAATAAGGGTTTCGGGCTTTAGATCTACGGCTGTAGGGTTTGAGTTATATCTTGAAGATGACAAAGCGCCCGCTTTAGGCTCAGGAATTAGTTCCTAGGCTTTACATGAATCAGCTTCCTCTGTTCCTGCATCCGTATAGTATAAGCCCTGAATCTTAAACTTTTACTTGTCTCATCTTGTCTCCATGATTCAGCATGTACTGAGTGGGCGAAATGGCCATGCACCTGTGCCATTCTGGGCTGCACTATGGCCTAGCTTTTGTGTTTGGGGCTCATTGCTAAGCCACCATTAAAACAAGACCACTTGAGCCTTGCTGTTGAGCCCACCAAGAAAGCAGGCTTTCAGGTTTAGGGTCAAGGCCCTTAATCCCAATCCCGCAAGAATCCTACCCAGATGCATCTGCCCAGAAAGTATGCAAGCACCAAACCCCGGTATCGAAAAACTGTCTGGTGCTTGCTAGGGAATGGGGGGAATGGATCCCTAGGACAGTCCCCTGAGGTCCCTTATAGTCTACTTATAGTAGTCCCCACAACCCATTCCCCCATTCCCTACTAACCCTAAACACTAAACCCTAAACCCTAAACCCTAAACCCGAACCTCTTCCCCCATTCCCTACTAAGCACGAGTAAAACCGAAGCCAAGAAGCGAAGGCTGCAAACTGGGGGTTGTTCTCGTAAAGGCTGACGCCTGGGGGTTTTGGAGCTTGGAGCTTGGGGTTTGAGGCCTGATCAGACTTAGGGTGTAGGGCTTTAGGTCTTTAGGGGTTTAGGGGTTTAGGGGTCTAGGGATTTTGGGTTTAGGGGTTTAGGGGTTTAGGGGTTCAGGGGTTCAGGGTATAGGGTAGGGGTTTAGGGTTTAGGGTTTAGGGTTTGGGGCTTAGGGCTTCTCAGAGGTCCGTCAGTCCCGGCATCTGGAACATGAGGCTTCAAGGTTTCCGAGGCACGGGACTTCGGGCAAAGGTATAGGGTTTAGGGTTTAGGGTTTAGGGTTTAGGGTTTAGGGTTTAGGGTTTAGGGTTTAGGGTTTATAGGTAGGGGACTTAAGATGCCGGCTCCGTGAAATGTCCCAGAGAGCCCAATACCCCTTAACTAAGGAGCATATCTTAAACTATAATATTAAGGCCCCTGTAATTTAAGCGATATTCCTTAATTAAGGGGTATTGGGCTCTCTGGGGTCGGCAACTGGATGTCTGGGATCTCGGCGGCGGGGATTGAACCCAAAAGATTTAGCCCGAGCTTTGGGCGGTCAGAGGGGTTTGGGTTTGACACGGTTTAGGCTTGTTCAGGGGTTAGGGTTAGTGGTTAGGGCTTTGCTCCCGGATCCGATCTGCTACCCTAAACCCTAAACCCTAAACCAAAACCAAACACGTGCGGCCCACGTTGCTAATTCCCTGGCCGCAGTGGTGAAGACGGCAGCCAGAGAGGTGGAGACGAGCACCGCGCCAGAGGTTTACGGCCTCCCGGAGTTTGCGCATCAAAAAACAGGGCTTAGGGTTTAGGGTTTAGGGTTTAGGGTTTAGGGTTTAGGGTTTAGGGTTTCAGGTAAAGGGTACCCTGAAACCTCTCCACTGCCCGAAGTGCCCGAAACGGTTGAAGATGTTTAAGTTGGAAGTTGAGGGCTTAGAGCTCGAGATAGCATGAGTGCCCTGCCTACAATCTGCAACAATGGGTTATGAATACGAGCTACAAAGCCGCTACAAGTGGCGCACGGTTCTTAGATTGTACCTGGTATATAATATAGGGACTACAAGAGGATGCTAGCAGGAATTTGCCATTCCTGTTTATTGGCTATATCCGCAGCACAACTCTTATGACCCTATAGAAACTGTCGGGATCAACGAACGGACGCACCTCCATCCCTGCGTCAGAGATGTCGCAGTCGATGGCGCCTGGGCTCTATGAACTGTCGAGGTCGCGAGTGAAGTCCTAGGGTTATACGGCTCAGGGTTTTAGGGTGTAGGGCTTAAGGTTTCAGGTTTAGGGCTTAGGGCTTAGGGTTTAGGGCTTAGGGTGTAAGGTTTAGGGCTTAGGGCTTAGGGTTCAGGGCTTAGGGTTTAGGGCTTGGGATCTTGGGGTCTGGGGTTTGGGGATCAGCACTTTGGCTTGAGGATTTGGGGCTTCAAGTTTGGAAGCTCATGGCAGGTGTAGGTCGGGCCATATGCATGTGAATTGGGAGCTGCCCAAACATGAACCCTAAATTCACAACATTTTTGGACCACGAAATAAAACATTCTCAACACATCCCCCGTCCACCCCGCCCCTTGAGCCCTAAACCCGAAACCCCTAAACCCCGAAACCAAAAAGAAAAACTCCTACACTCATGTCAGGGCCGGCTGGCGCACGTGCGTCTGCACCACCGCCTTCCAGCTTTGTCCGGACCAGGGCCGGAAACTGGCCGGCTCAACCTTTTTGGGTTTAGGGTTTGGGGCTTTGGGCTTCGGAGTTTAGGGTTTGTTTTGAAAAAGTGCGGATTAGGGTTTAGGATTTAGGTCTTTGGGTTCAGGGTTTAGGGTTTGGGGTTTTGGGCTTCGGGGTTTAGGCCTTTCTTTTATAAAAAAGTGCGGTTTAGGGTTTAGGGTTTAGTTCCTTGGGTTCAGGGTTTGGGGTTTTGGGCTTCAGGGTGTAGGGTTTAGGTGTTTGGCTTTTGGGTTTAAGGTGTTGGGGTTTTGGGCTTCAGGGTTTAGGGTTCAGGTTTAGGTCTTTGGGTTTAGTTTTGCGTTCTGGGTTTGTTCGGCTTTTCTTCTATAGAAAGGTCGGAATAGTTAGTTAGTAACAGGACAGTAGTCAGTGGTCCCCTACATCACGCCTAGTAGACTAGTTAAACTCTAGCATACCCCAGGTTCAGGGATTGGGTCAATTGAAGTAAACCCCTAAACCCTAAACCCAAAACCCTAAACCCTTGACCCTGAACCCCAAACCCTAAACCCTAAACCCTAAACCGTTCAGGACGTCGGGCCCCTTACGACTGGAGAGACACTAAATTTTTGCGGTGGGCTGACCGTGGCTCTAGCACTCGAGGCTCCGTACCAGCGAAATCTCGAAACTCCACCGAACCACCGCAACGTCCCAAAGCCCAAGCCCCCGAAACCCTGAACACCAAGTCAAATCCTGAGCTCTAGACCCCTCAACCCTAAACCCTCAAGCCTAAACCCTCAATCGGAATCCCTGAACCCTGAACCGTAAACCCTCAACCCTCAACCCTAAATACCCTAAACCCTA